TGGCACACCAGAACTTTTGTGTTCATACCCTGCCCTCTGTCTTCAGATGCTCCCTTTTTACAGTCTTTGTACTAATCACTCAAGTAACTTCTTTCTGGCAACATTTTCCCATTCATTCCCTGTGTCCCTGTGTAGCATGAGAAAATCCTTTGGCCCACCATCACCACTTCTATCTCGCAATGATTTGCAAATGGCTTCATTTCTAATAGGATTTAACCAGAAGCTTGTGACATTTAGTATTCTAAAGAAATAAAATGCTCTAAAAAGGGAGCTTTGAGAACACTGCCCGCTGCGTATAGACAAATTAATTGATCGTTTTCGAATTATACCCAGCTCCTTTTTCCTGCTTAATTCATCTGGAAGATTTCAGGTTTTTCTACAGTGCTGTTCAGTGATTCTTGTACTTAGATAGGAGTGAATCAATAGTAATATGATCGTCATGACTGAAGATAAGCAGTGCTACATGGGCTGCTCAGTGATACTGTGCGTCAATTCACTGCCACTACACGGACACTTGAGTCTCTAACAAAGTTTTTGTGTGGTCATTGTGCTGTAAACTGGTGTCAAATTCGGCTTACTTTGTAGGGCACCTTCAGCTCATGAGTCCAAGTTGATCCTATCATTTGGCTGACTTTACAAATATAAAAAGACTTGAATGACTGACCTGTTTCCACTGAAATCTAGCCGTTATCAAAATTTAAGAAGGTTTATTTCTTACTGGCTTATTTTAGAAAGCAACAAAGAAACACCCACTTACTTGGTCACTTGTCGATGACTCTTGTGTCTATATTAAATATAAAGGTAGAGCTGGGAGTCAATTAGCTTAACTTAGCACAACTACAAACAGCAAGCCTGTGCAAAGGTAAAAAATCTGCTCACAAACACTCCTGAAGTTCTCAAATAAATATGTTGTATCTCTTTTGTTAACGACCCAAAGATGTAGATTGCATTCTGTAGTTTGTCATGCTAGCTGTCTCCCTTATTTCCAATCTTCATGCTACACTAAGTTAAACTGCTGCCTCTAGCTCTTGACATAATTTCAGACATTAAACTGGTATTGATCTTTTCATGTGAGCCACAGCTTCAAGGCAAATTAGTGTACTTCACAAAATGGCACATTACTACTTTATTTAATACTTAAGCGAACTTTAAGCTGCTATATTATGCAAAATTCAGTTTTTCATAGTTTCATTATGAGCATAATTTTGTGTTGTCAGTGTTTCTAGAGACCCACAAAATATGAGAAAAGACCAGCCCCTCATTTTTTTCCCTTTCTGCGTAGAACAGAAAGTGTGTCTCTAAACAAGCTGTTCAGGTTTGCAACCTGTTGTGATGTCACAGTAGGATAAGCCCCGCCCCCAGCTGGCTCCTCCTCCTCTTAGCTCCTCTCACTGAAAAGATGCCCAAGATAAATGTCCTAGCACATTTCTTCCATACATCACCCATGGTTGGTTTTGTGGAGGGCAGGATAGCCATATACTATATATGTCACCAATTTGACTATGAACGATGCCAAAGTCCCTCAGGAAAGTCTGCAAATATGTGAGCTTGTAAAAAGGGTTAGTAGTATCAAAAAGTCAGCATCAGAGCCCTAATGCACTTGACGATTTGACAGTGGGTCATCCTTAAGCACTCACACACTTAGCGGGAGCGCACCTTAAAGTCTGTAAGTCTGTGAGTGTGGAGATTACGAGTGAGCAGAAGAAGCTGCAGAGAGAAATTTGCCTGCAGCCCTCTTCCTAAATGAGGTGTGGGCAGCATTAACTTAGCTGGATTTAAATCTACACCCACTGATAAACCACACGCTGGTAAAATAAGGGGTATCATAGGAATGATGAGAACAACAAGCTGTGTTGTTTTTGGATTTTTTTACTATTATTTAATCTGAAACCAGAGGAAAGACGACCCATTATTAGTTTTCCTTGTGCAGTGCTACAGTATGTGCCCATTATAGTGTTTTCTTAGGATCTAGTGTTATTCATATTGGAAAAACCGTTAAAGACGTCTTGTTAGCATGACATTTTCGTACTTGTATCCGATGTGCGTAAGTTTCTTTTATTGTATTTGTGACTGCATCTGCTCCGTGTGCGCATTTGACTATTTGACCAGCAGTCAGCTCTCCCGGCCAGTCTCCATCTATCACTCGAGCTTAATTCAATCAGGATCCACATCTCAATCAGGACTGGGTTGGCCGCTACTCCCGGCCAGTCACCATGCCACCGGCAGCCCTGCCACACCAACAAAGACACAGACAGGAGGAAGAGAGAGGGAAAAGAAAAGGCACAAGGGATGAGAGAAAGACATAGTGTGAGCACAGTGTCCATGAACAAGAAGACAGACTGAAATAAGTGAGATAAAGAGACTGGAGACAAGCAGATGCTGCCACTTTTGCATGAGTAATGTCACAGTTTGTCTATGTACTATGTGTGTACTGCGATGGAGGCAAAACAGGCCCTGTGCTTGACCATGCGTTTGTGTTGCAGCTCTGCCTCAGAGGACTTGGGCTGCAGGCGTGGAGACTTCAGCAGGAAACACTATGGTTCGGTCGAGCTGGTGAGTCCCACCCACAATGCACTCATCTGTTCGTTGCTCCCTTTGTGTCTCAGCATGGGTGTCTCCTCATCCTCTTACCCTTTATCCTCCTCATTGATTCTTCTCTTGATGATGTCCCCTCCCTTTCTGTGTCTGTCTCTCTCTCTCTCTGCCTTCCCCTCTTTCTGTTGGCATGGTTGGACAACAGAGGGGGACTGATGAGTCATGACGTACTGGGTGTGGTCCAGCGATGTGCTTTGCCAGCGTGGATCACAATAGGCGCTCACAGTGATGCAGGACTCTGCTTGCTGCCCAGCCTCCAAACTTCATTTGTTTTATTTTGACGCTGCTGGTGTAAAGCTGCAGCACAGTGTGTGTTTTTGTGGTTGATTACTAAGCTGTTGAGTCATTGTTGCTGTGGGGAAATGTGTGTGTGTGAGTGTACATCCCTCCACTGTGAGCTGAGTCTGTACATCCCGATAGCCCAGAGGGACAGGAAGTCCTAGGGTTTTCTCGCTGCAGTCGTACTTCCTACCAGAGACATATTGTGGGTTTGTCCACGAGTGCTGCGCACCACGTGTGCAACAGATTAGTGTTGAAGAGAAACCACATGCTGCCTATCAGCACTAGCAGACTGACACTATGCACAATGCTGCTGTGTGGGGGTGAGAAAACGAGAGAGCACCGGGAGTGTGAGGCAGGATGAGGTCACTAATAGCCTCCATATTCAAAGTGAGTCCATCACAAAGCAGGCGACTGCTTCCTTTTTACATTAAACATGGGGTGTCCTCTCACTGCTACATCTAGAAATTGGTATGTTTTTTTCTTGTACAGACTACGTGTTGCAAACCAAAGGGTGATCCATTTTGTGATCCATCATGATGGATTAACTGTTAGATATGAGGACAACATGCATAAAGACAATCAATAAATTAAAGGTGAAATCTGATTAAATGAATGAAGAAGCACAACCAATTCAACTGCGTGTTACAGTTAAGGCACAACATCCAGTCATGCTTTGTGACATGTGTAAAGCTGCTGAGCATGCCCAGTTGATTCTGATTTTGTGTCAAGATGGGAAGAGTATAGATCTTTTGAAAGGGGTTTCATTGTTGGGGCACAGACGGCAGGAGCTTCCGTCACAAAGACTGCTCATCTGGTGCTGACAGGGACATCTGATTTTAGATCTATAGGGAAGACATGAGTCTAAAGGGTCAGATATTGTGGTTGCCACTGGGCATTTGATGACGACATGTAAAGGAAAACAGGAGAGCAACTCTTCCTCAGGTAACCCAGAATGTGACATGATCAGACTGTCGGCAACAACACCTTCGTTGACAATTACATAGAGTAATATTAAAGCAGGGCTGCAGGGCATATACCCTCATTACAAAGATGAATGCACATTTAAGAGTTCAGTGGTGCAGAAACCAGAGGCACCGGTCTACAGAGATATGGAAACAAGTGATACGATCAGATGAGTCATCCTTCACCATATTCTCGACAAATGGATGAGCGCATGTGGGGCACATCAAGAGAGTAGTACAGGCCTGAACTCTTGATCCCTGTACTGAGGGGATGTGGTGGCTCTGTTGTGCAGTTGTGGGTATTTTGTTGGCATGATTTGGGTCCACTTGTCCCTTTAGAGGAAACGGTCAATGCAAATCAGTAAAAAAGTTGTTCCGAGTGCTTCGCTTTATCCTGTGATGAAACATGTGTCTGTCCTGATGGGAGTGATCTCTTTCAGAATGACAGTAACCTCATCCTTAGGTCACTTAATGGTTTGTTTGTTTGTAAGTGTGAAAATAGTTTGAATCTTAACCACTAACAACTTCTTCTAGAAGTTAGTTTTTGGCCTTGATGAATGCTTCATATTAGCAAACCACTGCTAGTAATAAGCAATGATCGCTGATATAGAACTGCCATCTAAGTCTCTTAAGCTATAGTAGCTTAATTAAGGAAATGTAAGTACCAAAGCACTTTTTTTTTTCTTCAAAAGAATCCTTTCCAGTAGGAATGTGTTTAAGACATGACAATTCCTGATGGGATAAGAGGCTGTGTGGTGTGTTTATTAGAAGGGGAAGTGAATAATGGAAAATTAATGACAGGGCTTGGTAAACCCCGGTTGATCTTTAGTAATAACCTACGGGAGGATAAGCACATGTTGCCAAGCTTACATCTTATCCTTGGTCCTTGACTCTGCAGTGAAATTAAGTCTTTGTTTTTCGGTGGGAGAAGAAATATAATTGCTTGTGTGAGCATACAAGGGAGAGTGTTTTTGTCGAGTTTGGTGTTCACACTGTTTAAGGCTGTATGTCTCCGGGGGAGGCTTGTGCAAAGGTCGGGTCTGTGATTCTGTCGAAATTCAAGTCCTGATGCCTTTTAGCCCACAAACAGCTTTCTGTGTTGACAGTGCTGAATCTGTATGCTCTTGGTCTGTCTGTCTGTCTGGTCAGGGAAAGATTTTAGCACCTGACATTTTCTGAGAAGAACTGGCACGAATTACCCAACATTTTCCTTTCTCCACAAATCTGATATTGGTTAAATGCATGCTTATCTTCAGTTCACTGGAGCAGAGCAGCAAGCACTCTGTCATGGCGATGCGTTGGCTTCATCATGGTGTCTGTGGTGGTGTGAAGTTTCTGTGGGCAGACCAGTGTCCACCAAAAATGACTGTGTTGAGGTCAAGGCTGTCTGGGCTGCAGGCTTCAGGTTTAGGCAGAGTGGTTGTTGGAACTTCACCTTGACAGTTGTTTAACTTGCAAAGAAGGATTAAGATAAATGATCAACCCGTTTTAGGAGTACTGTCATTAATTGGTGTATTGAGGCATCAATTACTTATTTTCCATTATCATGTTTTCCAATTTTTCCTAAAACAAGCTACCTTTATAGCTAGATTTGCACTAGTGTAACTCTAGCACAGGTACCAAAATAGATATGTACTTTTTGCATGAAATGTGTTTACATTCAGTGTGTTGCATTTCTTACTATCCACCTTGTCACTACAGAACACATTCCTGTGCAAGTTGTCAAAATTTGATGTCAATGACTAGATTTTTATCAAAAAAACATTACATTTTATTCTTCATGCATCTCCATATGCTAAACATGAAATTTATAAAGCACGATCGCACTTTATTTCCACACTCAGGTACTTTGGTAAACAGAACTAAAGTCCAGCATTGGACCCTTTCTCCTGCTATATCAATAAAGAAAATTTAGCGACCACAGTATGTACCACGTTGGTCCGACCACAAATTGCTCTTTGTGTTGCATCTTTTCCAGGCATGAGTTTGACTGCAGTTTATTCCAATGCGTTGAAGATGTTTTCAAATGTCTCCACACAAATAATTCAAAGCTGGGTCTTCCTAATAACAGAGACAAGCATAAACAGTCATGACTCACATTGTCTGTTTTATTTTTGGCATCATGGAAGCAGTCGTAGCGGTTGCCAATAAGAGTAGATACCTCTACAGTGTACCAGTATGATTCACTGCAGTCCACACACACCAACTGCTTCTGACATTATACAGCTCTATGGAATCCAGGTACGGTTCATTGTCATCATGAGGGATTTTGATGCCAAACTCTGTTGTAAGTCCACTTGATAATGAAACTACTGCTTTAAGAAGTTGTAGAAATAAGGGACAGCAGAACACAATATTGAAATACAAATTTCTTTTTCGTCTGTAATGACACATGCTGATAGCTTTCAGTAAAAATATCTTTCTGTAGGACCTTATCACAACTCAACACCTCCACGAGCAAGTACAATAAGTACAGTTTATCTGTACAAAATAGGAGATATTGTATGTGGTGACTCAGAATGCCCATATTCTCGGCACAAAGTCAAACACGATTCCAGTAGGTGTTGGATGCCGCCAGGGTTGTCCATTGTCTCCGATCCTGTTTGTGATATTCGTGGACAGGATCTCAGTGTGCAGCCAGAGTGAGGAGAGTGTAGAGTTTGGAGACCTCAGTCGTGTCTGCTTTTTGCTGATGATGTGGCACTGTTGCTTTCATCAAGTCGTGACCTTCATGCAGTTTGCAACCGAGTGTGAGACTCAGCACCTCCAAATCCAAATCCTCCAAATTGCTTCCTCTGGGTTGGGGGTGAGTTGGTGATTCAAGCGAGGGTTTTTGTGTCTCGGGAGTTTTAGTATCTCAATATGTTGTTCACGAGTATTGGAAAAATGCAGCAAGACATGGACAGATGGATTGAGGGAGCATAAGCAGAATGTGGGTGTTGTACCGGAGCGTCGTGGTGAAGAGAGAGCTGAGCTGAAAGGCGTCCTACATTCCAACCTTCACATATGGTGACAAGCTCTGGGTAGTGACCAAAAGATGGAGGCTGTGGATTCAAGTGGGATACGAGTGGCCAAAATGAGTTCTTCCATAGGGTCACTGGCTCACGCTTAGACAGGGCATCAAGAGTGAGCTTGGAGTAGAGTTGATGCTCCTTTTGTGCTAAAAGTAGCCGGCTGAGGTAGTTCAGGCATCTTTGGAGGTTTTAGGGCCAGGTCTAGGTGAGACGACCCCAGGGTAGACTCCCTGGAGGAGTTATATATATATATATATATCATCTGGCCTGGATCTGCCTGGGGATCCCCCAAGAGGTGCTTGAAAATGTTGTTGGGGAGAAGGGATGTCCAGAATACCACTGCAGCCTGAGCCCAATTAAACAGAAGAAAATGGATGGCTAGACATTATTATTATTATTATTAGACCTGCAGATTAAGTGTGGGGCTCACCAAAGTATTGCTCAATTTAACAAGTTTGGTTCTAAAAGAAAGAGTGAGAGAATAATCAATCTAAGCAGTGATAGCTACCGAGCGCTGGGCCTTTCACCTGAATTACAGTATTGGAGCTATTGGAGCCTACAACTACATGCTCATCCAAAGTCATGGAAGTACAATTTTCCATACATTCACTGAACTAATGAGGAGCTAAGGTGTAGCAGAATGTCCATGTATTCACTTTATGTATCCTACTCATAGGATTTAGTTGACTAAGTTCTCCCA